CAGCCAGCTGACGGATGTGAGTACCGAAAAGTCCCGCTCCTCCCTCCTGTCCCGCCAGGACAAGCCAGCGAGGAGGGGGGGCCCATGGTGCCTGCCTGCCATCGTGGCAAGGGATGGGGCTGATGGGGCACTGAGGAAAGCACAGGCCTGGGTTTGGGCTGCCCTCGTGCTAACAAGCTGCAGTGCTTTTCAGGTTTGATTAGCATCTCAAAAAAAAAATTGGTCAAACCAATATTTCCAGAGTGCTTGGAAAATTCCTCTCTGAGGGCCTGCACGGACCCCCAAGAGCACGACCCTGAGTTCTGCCTCATCTCTTTGAGACTTTGGGTGACGTCCTCTCGTTAGGAGAGGGCTATCTGTCCCTTGTGTGCAGTGGCTGGAAAACCATCTCGGGGACTGCAGGGTTGCTGGAGCAGAAGAGTGATGTGATGCTGTCTGGTGTCTGCGCTTCCACTCCTGGGCGGAGGAGCTGCTGACTCGGCACTGACTGTAGCAGCAAATCTCTCGGCTGCTGTTAAGCTTGGGTTAGACTGAAGCAAACCTAAATTCCAGTTCTTGCTTTTGTCTTGCTTGTTTGTGATTTAAATTGCTTTTATTTGTAGGTATTTTTTCTGTGAGTGCCAACTTGCTCTTTCTCTCTCTTCCTGCCCAGATATCGGTATGTCGGGATTTGCCCAACATCGAGGTGATCACGTTCAGGTGAATGTCAAGGCTGCTGGCCTTGGAGAGGGCAGGGAGAATCGCCTTTCTCATCGGGCTGTGGCTTGCCCTGGTTTCTTACTGCACGTCTGTGGTTGGGTGTCTGAGCTGCCTGGCTCGTCATGCCTGATTTTTCAAGCAGCAGAGATGCAGAAATGATTTTTCTTATTCTAGCTTCTCTGCACGTATCCCTTTGCAACTTGAGAAAATAGTCCCTGTTTCAAGAAGTGTTAAAACCTCTGAGGATTGTTGCTTCCTGCATCCTATTCCATAGTTTGGATGGGATCTTCTGGGCCTCCCTGTAGGGGCCAGTTTGCAAAACGTTTGTTGAAATGCTTGGATCTTACAAAGCTTTTTGTTTCTGTAAGCACCCCGTGCCACCCCCATCCTTCACCTGTCCCAGCGGTCCCACAGAGGCAATGCTGGCTGTGAATTTGAGCTTTTTAGCTTGGAAATCTTACATGGGTTCTCCTTTAGTAAGTCCGAGAAACTGCCGCAGAGACGTGCAAGTACAGTGGGTGTTTGGGGCAAGCAAAGGCTGTTTGTCTTCTTCAGCAGAGAGGAGAGCCTGCTTTTTTAATTCTTCTCTCTGTTTAGAACGATGAAACACTGTCTTTGTTCTGTGCAAATCCGTAGGTCCCCGAACGCCCCTTGCTGTGCTGTGTCTGGGTGAGGCTCTTCCATGAAGCTGTTGAAGGGAAGGGGGCTGGAAAGCTGCTGTGCTACAGGGGCTGCTGTGCTCCCACCTGAATGGTACAGCGAGGGAGGGGGGGGGCTTGCTGGTCTCTGATCCCACGCTCTCTCTTCAGTGTGAATGGCATCTCAGACCTCGAGCCTCTGAATCAGTGCCAGAATCTGAGTGAACTCTATCTGAGGAAGAACAACATCGCAAGCCTAAATGAGCTCTTCTACCTCAAAAACCTACCCCGGCTGAGGGTCCTGTGGCTGTCTGAAAATCCCTGTTGTGGGTCGGACCCCCACCGCTACCGAATGACGGTGCTGCGTAACCTACCCAGCCTGCAGAAGCTTGATAACCAAGGTGGGTATTGGCCAGTGAATGAACAGCCCCAAGCCATGGGCAGGGCGAACTGGAAACCGGTGACCTGTTGGTTCCTCTAAGGTGCCCTTTGACTCTTCCTTGAGTCAGGATCTGTTGGCGGTTGAGCGTCCCCTCTGCAAGATCCACCACTTCTAAGCTGTTTTCTCCCTTCCCTTCCCTGCAGTGCCAGAGTTAACACTAGCTGAGAGCGCCTGGTTATAGCTGAGACAGTACCACTAATTAGTGGCTTTTTCAGAGCTCTTGCCTTTGCTGTGGCAAAACAAAGATTCTGTCGTTCGATCCACTGGCGTAAAAAAAGGCTGGTAGCAGTAATTTGGTCGCTTTTGGAGCCTTCTGAGACAAGAAATAGGCGAAACGTATTTGCATCCCTCCCTGATATCTTTCCCACTTTGAGACACTGGGATGGCTGCTGGCTGGCCACTACAAAGGACAATTTTTGGATCAAACCCATGTGGTTTAGCTCTATGGCAGCAGTACGTGCCCCATTACAGGTACTGTCTTCCTGGGTTGCTGGAGGTCACTGCAGCAGGGTTTTGTTTTGGCTTTTGCAGCTGTGACAGAGGAAGAACTGTCCCAGGCCCTGGTTGATGGTGAGGAGATCACAGCCCCACCAGTCAGGAGGAGCGTGGAGAACGGCTGCCCTGAGTCCGCTGAATCCAGTGCTGCTGATGCCACAAAGGAGACGGAGAGTGAACTGCTGAACTTCAGTCTGGAGGAGACAAAGTGAGGGCTTGCTTGTGAGCTGTTAGGATTTCTGGGCTGAACTCAGTGTAGCATGGAAGGACCCTGCCAGCCAACCCTGATATTCTGTGGGCCAGGCCTGCAGCCGGTGCAAATTCTCGTTGTTCCGGTTACTGTGGTGGAGCTGTGCTGGTTTAGTTAACAGCACTTGCGGGTCTGGTTCTGTATCTGCAAAACAGGCTCTCCTGTAGGTGGGCACTTACTTTCAAATGCGTCAGCTGCATGTGCAGGGGCAGATCCTCTCTGAAGTGTGAGCTCCAGTCCATTCCTGCCCCGCTCCTCTTCTGCGACACGCTTTGGCGCACGTGTTCAAGTGTGGCGTCACTTCACAGTCCCAGCTAGCACTGGGCACAGGAATCTGTTGTCCCAGGCAGGGCAGTGAGCAGACATCTTGTAGCAGCATGCTCATTTATGTTTTATAGCTGTGAGGCTCTTTGGGGTGTTGTGGTCTGTAGGCAGTGGCAGTGTGTGAATAGATGTGTCTTGAGTCCTTCAGCGAGACACTTCTTGCGCGGTTGCCGTGATTAGAAAGGATTGGCCTGGCAGGGGAAGGTTTTGTCTTAATAATGTTTGCCCTTCCTCCCTTTCTTTAGCAAAATTCGAGAGGAGCTTGGTATGAAGCCTGTTCCCAGGGATAAATTTTCCTCCTTTTCACCTCGCGAGACAGACTGCAACCGGAAGAAGAGAGTGAGTATCTTTAAAGACCAAATTGCTTTCATCTTCATAAGACCTCATGCAACGTAAAGAAAGCCTGATGGGGGTTTGCCCTCTTGGGCTGTCTGCACATGAGCACATGTGTGTCCCTTCACTAGGCTTGTGCTAAGAACATGGGGTGGGTGAGCGGCAGCTGACATGCAGCCGGCAGGCTGTTGGCTTGGTGGACAGGACTGCTGAATCGAAAGCTTTGATGGTTCCTCAAGAGCCCTCCACTGCGTAGCCTCGGGTGAACCTCATGGGTCTTGGCTGTTCATCTGGGAACTGCTCTCTGCTGGGCTCAGGGCCATCGCTTCAATCAGCAGGGTGAGATCTAGACCATGCTCTGCCCCATTCTGACGTTAGTTGCCTGCAATCTCTCTTTTGTTCATGTTATAAACATACCTGAGCGTGTTGCTTTGCAGCACCATGAGTAGTACTGCAGGCTTTTGCCTTTGGGAAAATAAAATGTTAAACCAGGGGAGGTTTGGGTTGGACATTAGGAAAAGGATTTTCCCTAGAAGGACGGTTGTTTAGAGAGGCTGCGGAATCTCTCCCCGGAGTTTTTCAAGATGGGGTTTGACAGGGCCGTGGTCTGGTGTTGGCAGTCGTCCTTGTGTCGGTGGGAGGTTGGGCTGGAGACCTTCAGGGGTCCCTTCTAGCTTGTGCTTTCGCGATTCTACCAGCTCTTCTTACTCCTCAGCTCAGAGGGTTTCTGTCCTTTCCCCACAAATGCGGTCATGCTGGAGAGAGAGGGCGGCTGCTCTTGAATGCGCCTTTCCTTACAGAAGCCAGTTGGGAGGGTGGCTGGGAGCCAGAGGCGTGTGGCCAGTCTTCTTGGCAGGACTGGGCGGGCGGGTTTGTCCTGCATTCCAGTTAGCCTCCTCACATGCAGGCTCTTGCCTGTGTTTGCCCCAAGGGCTTGGTTGATCTGTCCCTGGAGCTGCAGGTGGCTGTTGCAAAGCTCTGCTGGTGGTGGTGGTGGAGTTCCTAGAAAGAGCAGCTCTTGGAAAATCAAGTGTCCTTTTCCAGGCTGGCATTAACGTGCTTATGTAAAGCAGTGTCTGTCTTGTCCCGACAGAACAATGTCCTGAATGCCATCCTGCTTCTCATGAAGGAACTGGACGCGGAGGGGCTGGAGATCGTCCAGCAGACGGTGGGGAGGAGGCTCCAGGCCTTTCGGAAGAAGGAGCTGCAGGAGGAATGACGGTCCCCACCACAAACCTCCCTGGAGCCCCAGACCCACAGTGCCGTTATTCCCACACATACCCGGCTACAGCCAAAGCCTCAGTGTTTTCCGCTGCGCTTCCCCAGCGGAGGGGCTGGGACAGGGCACTGCTGGCTGCCCCTACAGCTCCTGCCATCGCCTCTGGCTGCGCATATCATGCTGGGGCTGGCAGCACCCGATCTGGCTCTCGGGAGCTTTCCTGCTTGCGTAGCAGGCTCCGTTAACATTTGTATCTCGTGTCGCTGGGGCTGTTTGGTGGGAGCTGCAGAGGAATCAGCAAAGCAAAAGCGAGCAGGGCTGCAGCAAGAGGTGCTGCTGTGCTGTGCGATCGAAGGGGGATGGCAGAGCTGGCTGACGGCTAGAAAGGTTGTGGCTTGTCGGTGGCTTGTCAGGCTAACCCTCTGCCAGCCTCTGTGTGTAGCAGACTCTGAAAGCAGCTTCTACCACAAAAGTTTGGTTTTTGTGAAGTCTGTTGGGGAGACGCTGCCTGAAATGATCACCAAGAACTGTCTGGTACAGATTGTGTCTGTCAAATTCTTAATTTACCTTTGACTCCTGACTTCTGGTCCTCGTTAGCACATGAAGCATCTGACTTGGTGGTCAGATGGCCCAAAGAAAATCTCGGTGCAGCCTAGGTGAAACAGAAATTACTGTCTTGCAGATCCTGAATGCTCAGCTCTACTCTCACCCCCACATGCCCCTGCAGGCATTAGAGCCGCTTAAGGAAACTTAACGTCAGAATAAAAAAGCCCCTGTGCGTTTTGCAGTTAGGAATAAAACAAGCCAAGCGTTACTGTCCGGTTTGCGCAGGCGTTGGGGTGTGTCTCTTTTAACTGAAAAAGCTGCATTTACTAAGATTTTATAGAGCCGTTGGAAACTAAACTGTTGTGACGTACCAAATAAAACCAGTTATCCCTCTAGGACGTGTAAGTTGTGGCTGGGGTTCAGCACACAGAGTGAGAACGACTGACTCCGGGCATTGCTCCATTATGTCTGGTTCACGGCTCGCATTGTCAGCCCTGCGGAGCTGGAGGAGGGCTGTGGGCCCCCGCGCCCTCCCGCTTCACTGGCCCCGTGAAATGGCTCGCCCGCCTCCGGCGCTGTTTGATACTGCCCTGAGCTGCTGCGGGGGCTGCTTTTCAAAACCACTGTGCTATTTGGGAACCTTCTGGCAGCCACAAGTCCCCACCGAGCATGGGAAGCAAAAGCAGGGGTGAGCGAAGCTCGCTTGCTCTTGCAGAGCCTGTGTGGGCAGGACGATGGCCCCCGAGACGTGGGACACAAGCCCTCTGTGCTGCTCGGCTGCAGAGCGCAGCCTTTCTGTGTCCCCACGCTCCCTGTTTGTGCGGGTGTCCAAGCTCCTGCATGCTGGGTCGTGCCGTAGGGAAGGAACGCTCCTCAGGGATGGTGACAGCCATGTCTGCAAGCCTCTTTACTGAACCTTGGTGGGAAGGGGGCACAGTTTGACCCTTGTCACTTGGGTGAAGATTGCTGATGCCTTTAACTCCTCAACTGACCTAGTTCTTGCCTTCTGCATTAAACCCTGCTGCATTTAAATGGCCAGCGTGATTTATAATACACCAGACTTCCCTTGACAGCCAGGGCCCAAGAGACTTATCCATCATCTTGTTTGCATCTTGCCGTTGTGCTGAGGGCACGTCTTCTCCCAGGCTGTCTCCACAGCCTGCTTGGTGGCAGAAGTCGCGCCTGACCGTGTTGGGGAGCAGGGGAGCTGCTGTTTGGGCGTGATGGACTCCTCCCAGCAATGCTGGGATCAAAGCAAGCGTCATTGTTAGTCATCAAGGCTTGGTTGTGGTGAAGGTGGTTAATGGAGCAATCTCCACGGCCTGAGGCGGCTCTGGCACAGTTCCTCCTCTCTCTGCTGGAGAAGTTGGGCTGTTAATCCCGACGGCGTGACCGTCCCCGAGCAGAGCTCGCGCCTACGTGCCGCGCTTGTCATACTTGGCCGGTGTGGGTGCTCCCGCTGCCAGGCGAGCTGCCCTTGGTGCTCCCGACCACTCCTTGTCGGGTGACACCGCGGCATCCCGCTGGCTCTCGGCATGGCCCCGGGGGGAAGCTGGCCCCTTCAGCTCATGCTTCTTCATGCCGGGGAGCTGGCAGCCCGCCTTCCGCTACGAGATGGCTTTGTGCTCTGCCCTCTCTGTGGGGACGGGGGGGAGCTGTGGCTGGGCTGGATGTGCCGGGGTGTGCAGTTACCACCTCCCCTCCTGCACATGCTGGCAGGGCAGGGGTAGTTGCCCCATGGGATGTGGGGCTGTGCCTGTTGCTCCCTCCCCAGGAATTTGGCACTCCAGGCTTTTTTTTTTTTTGGGGTGCAGTCATTCCCCATGTGCATCCAAATGCACAGCTGGTCTGACTGTGGGGTCAATCCTGCCCCTGCCCCCGTTCACACCCTGAACCTGGCTGCTGGAGGGCTGTGGTGCCATGCCAGCCCCTCCGGTGCCCTGCCTGCTGTCGCGAGTGCCAGGCTGGGAAAAAAAACCCCCGTGTGCTGGCAAGGAGCCGAAGGCCTGGGGCCTGCCAGCTGCACCTGGGCAGGAGGCACCACCTGGGCTACAGTACAACCACGGGGCTTTTCAGCGTAACCTGCTTTTGCCCTGACCTGCCTCAGCAGGGGATAATGAGCAGTGAGGGCAGACATTTCCCTTACCTGGGGTCCCCAGAGGAGATACTCACCCAGGAAGAGCAGCAGCACTGCCTCCATCAGCAAGGAAAACACTATTTTTCCATGTGTCCAGCTCTGGCGGGGAAGATAACAGTAATCATCACCTTCATCCAGAGCCTGAAATGAGTAACGTGGCCAGCTAGGGGAAAAGCACTGAAATCAGAGGGGACTTGTCACTTGGGGACAACTCCGCTGGGAGGAAAAAAAAAATAACTGCACGGTTGACCCAAAAGACTATGATGCATCCTGGTGCTGGCGATGTCTCAGAGGCTGGAGCCATCAGCTGGAAGCCCCAGGAGGAAAGCAGCCTGGGAAAGGGGCTACAAGCAGCCATCTGGCATCGGCCGAGCTCTGCACACAGGAGACGGCGCACTTGGCAGCCACCCTGAGAAACTGCGTTAACAAACACACGCATCGCCTTGATAAATCACTTCTGCGCTTTCTTTGAAGGTGGGAACCAAAACAAGGGAGAAGCAATTTTTCTCCAGGCTTGCGAAGACTGTCCGCAGAGGGATGCTGACCTTGCACCCACCATGGCCTGGCCAAGGAGAGGCTGCCCGTGGTCCTGCTCTCCCAGGCTTTGAAGATGCACGAAGCAGGGAAAGCTCTTCACCCAGCATTAATCCGGCCCCGGCAAACCATCGGGTTTTGTTTGCAGGGACCGTCCCCCTCTCCTCACCCCAGGTCTGGCCCCACTTCCCTCCCCACAGGGACTCGGCCCGCAATGACCACTCTGTGGCGAGGCAGGTTTGGCTCCAGCAGGTTTTATCTCTAGAGGAGGACAGTGGTGCCGCGAATGGTACAAGATTTGGGGGGGGGTTACAGAGCAGCAGTGAGATGACGGGCATGGCCCCTGGGGCCGCACAGTGACGATCGCAGCCGAGCGTCATGCAAGGTGGCCAGGGAAGAGGGGCTTGCCAGGACCGGTGCTCTGCACTGAGCCCTCAATACGCCTCACCAGGAAAACACCGTGGGAGGATGGAGCTTTACCGGGGCTCACAAAAGCCCCCAGGGCCAGCCCCTGACCAGCTCCGGGATGGCACCCCATCCTCCTCAGCTCCCCTCCCGCACGCAGGGCAGGCAACTAAAAGCAGCAGTTGGCTCAGGTGGTCAAGCTGCTAAATAGGGAATCAAGATACTCCATCATTAAATAATAGGAATAAACTATCAAGGAAAGATTAAGGGTCTGGGCTGCGCAGCTGGGCTCTAGCAACACCTCTTTTCTGCATCTCCATGGGGACCAGACCCTGGACCAGCAATTCAGAGCAGGATTGTGCTATTTTGGGAGCCAGGACCAGGCTCTGCCTGCTTTAAGGGGTCGATGGCAAAGCTGCAGGGCTACTGTGAACAGGGGGGGAGCCAGTGCTCCCCGAGCAGCACGTGGAGAGGAAGAGGACGCGGTGGAGGGGGGCTACGGCTCGGGCTGGCGGGACTAGAAGCCCTTCTCGATGCTGAGCGTGCGGCGGGTGACGTGCTCCATCTTCCCCGAGATGTACTCGGTCAGGCTGATCTGGTAGTTGGCGAGCATCTTCAGCATCAGCCGCAGGTTCAGCCACCACTGCTCCTGGGGCAGCCTGTGCCTGTGCAGGGGGGGAACATGGCTCTCAAGCGGCCCCAGGGGCAACCCGGGAAGGTTCCCTGGGACCTGGCAGGGCATGGGGACAGAGACTTACTCAAAATCAGTGACTTTCTTGAGCTCTGTCACAGGGCTGAAGGCCACCACCTTCTTCCTGAGCCCAATCACGCAGGCAGAGTCGCCCGAATTGGCAAACACGCGCCCTGGGAGGGGGACACAGCCCACCATGGCCACCTTGCTGGGGGCCAAGCCCAGAGCAGCAGGGGCTGGCCAGGGCCACCAGCCTCCCCCCCCCCCACCACGGGACCCCCAGCTCAGCTCACCCTTGCGATAGACCTCCTGCAGCTTCTCTGACATCCACAGCACCGCCTTCACTCCCAGCTTGGTCCCGTAGTTGCGATCAAAGGGGGTTGGGGCTCCCCCCTGGGGACAAAGAAATAGTGATGTCAGGCCGCTCAGCGCTTGGGGACAGCGGTGGCCCACATGGCCCCATCCCCCATACCTGCTGGAGGTGGCCCAAGACGTTAATCCTGCAGTCAAAGATGCCTTTGCCCTCAGAGGAGTAGAGGTTGTAGAGGAACTCAGTGGTGTAGTGCTCGTGGCACTTCTCATTGCTGAGGAAGCAGAAGGAAGGGATTGGGGGGCTGCTCCTTCACCTGGTGTCCCCAGGAGGTCCCTCTGTGCTCCCCTTTTTTTTTTTTCTGTTTGGTCTCCCGGAGGCCCAGTGCCCCAGCCCACCTCCCTGACAGGACCCTGGGGCTGGGACAGCAGCGGAGGCATCCGGCTTAGGCCTGTCCCCCTGGCCATGTGTGGCATCCCCAGGCAGGATGCCGTGCACCCACTGTGCCAAACCCCCTGCTCCCAGGGACCCTCACCAGCCACAGGAAGGGCTCAGCTCCAGCCTCGCTCCCCGCCATGGGGCTGGGTTTTTCAGCGAGCATCCCCAGGGGTCCCCAACTCACCGCAGCACCAGCCCTCTCTGGATATCAGTCTTCATTTTGTCGGTCAAGTGCTCCACGTTGGCCTGCAAGATGAATGCCAGGATGCCGGCAGCCATCCTGGGTCCCTCTGCTCCTCTCGTTCGGACCCAAGTGCCACTTAAAATGTCAACCCAGCAGCTTCATGGGGCTTCGCCATGCTCCTCCAAATCCTGCCTTGCCCTGGAGCCTTCTCTTTCCTGGTTTTCCTTATTTTACCCAAACAATGCTGCCAGGAAGCAGCCCCTGCCCCACTCACCTTCAGGTCGTGGATGGTGAAGGGATCTTCGTAGACGTAGGCGGCATCAGCGCCCACTGCGATGCCAGTGACGGTTGACAGGTAGCCACAGTAGCCCCCCATCGTCTCCACGATGAAGACGCGGCGCTTGGTGCCTGAGGCCGACTGCTTGATGCGGTCACAACTCTGCACCAGGAGAAGGGGGGAGTCACACCAGGAAAACCCATCCTTGCTGCCCAGGCCAGGATGCTGGTTCCTTCCCACATGTTGCTCCAAAACATGGTGGGACTGGGTGGAGTGGGATGGCTCCGTGAGCTGCCCCCTGCCCTGTCCCTCACCTCCATGGCTGCGTTGACGGCTGTGTCCGAGCCCAGGCTGAAGTCGGTCCCAGGCACGTTGTTGCTGATGGTGGCGGGGATGACGCACATGATGATGCAGAGCTCCTCGTACTGCCCACGTGCCTCCACCAGCTGCAACACCCCCTCATACGCCTGCAAGAAGGCGAGGGCTGGGGAAATGCCAGCCCCAGGGCCGAATCTGCATCCCAAAAGGGATGGCCCGGGTGCCTGCACCACCCGGGATGCTGACAGCCCGCCATGGCCCCCGCACCTCGAACCCCCCGATGACCAGCAGCCCCTGGATGTTGAATTTCCGCACGTTCTCCACAATCTTTTCCATGCAGGTCTTGGGCAGCGTCCTGCAGCGGGGAGGAGAGGGAAGACCGCAGGGTGAGGACAGGGAGGCCTTGCAATCCCTGGGGACAACAGTGTCCACTCTATGTCCCCCGGCCCCCCTGGGGCTGCGCTTACCGCTTGGTGCCCAGCATGGACCCACCGCGTCCCAGCCAGCCTGCCACGTCATGCCAGCCCACCTCGCGGATCTGCAAGCAGCAGCTCTCAGTTTTGGGGTGGGTGAGCACCCCACCACCCCCCTCTGAGCCCAAACCCATTCCCCTGGGAATGGTTGCCCTTACCTGCCCCTTGGACAAGCCCTCAAAGCCATCGCTCACCACGTAGACGGTGTGTCCCTGGCAGATGCCGATCCGCACCGCCGACCTGACAGCAGCGTTCATGCCGGCGGCGGGGGCACCCACGTTCAGGATGGCGAGGCTGAAGGGGCTCTGTGGGGACAGCGATGGGGGACAGCCCATTGGCACGTGTCCCCAAGCCAGGGACAGTGTCCCCTGCCACTCTCCATCCCTCCTCACCTTCTCCTGCGCCGGCTTCTGGTGCGCCAACAGTTTGTAGATGTTCCAGTTGTTCTCAAAGCTCCTGCAAGGACAAGGTGGCATGGCCCCAAGGTGCAGGGAGGAGACCCTCCCCGGCCGCAGGAGTCGCTGGTTTCCCCCCAGGGAAAAGCCCCCATCCCAGCACGTCCTTTTGGCCACCCCATGGGAATGTCTTCCCCCCATCCCAGTCCCCACTCCTCACCTCCCGCGGAGCTGGATGGCCTCCTCAAACCTCTTCTCATCCATAGCCTTCTGCACATCCTTTGTCTTTGGGGAGGAAGATGCAGCACCATGATGCCCATGCTGCAGGGAGGGGAGCGGGACCTCCGCCCATCGGGGTGCCTGATTTCCCCCCCGGTACTCACCACCTGGACGCACTCCATGAGCGGCAGCCGCACCGACTGGTTCCCCGAGAGGCTCACCACACAGGCAGGGGTGTCCGGCGTCGCCTCCAGCAGCGCCATCACGGCCTCCATCCCCATCTTGCTGCTCTGCAAAGGGAAAGGGGCACCCGCCGCCCCCTGACACTGGGGCCACCCTTGCCGGCTGGGTGGGATGCTCCCGTGGGCTTGGAAACTGCGCAGCCGCTCGTACACCTGATTTACAGCCAGAGCACTGCTGATTTTATTTAAAAACATGTGAAATTTTCAGCAAATGAGAGGAAAAGGCCTGGCACAGCGGCCGAGCCTGTGCGGACCATCTGAGCCCCATCCCAGCTGGCAAATCCTTGGCAACAGGCGGAGGGATGGCAGGAGCAGGGTTCCCCAGCTGCCCGCTCCTTTCTGTGGGATGACCCCTCCCATACCCCAGCCCTCAAGACCCACCAGCACACGGTCGAAGGCTGACGGGGTCCCTCCACGCTGCACATGGCCAAGGACGGTGACCCGCGTGTCAAAGCCCAAGCGTTGCACCACCAGCTGTGGAGCAGAGAGGACATCAAGCCGGGGACCCGCTGGTCACCGCGGGTGCCGGAGCAGGTGCCGGAGCTGGTGCTTACATCCTTCACGTAGTTGGAGGAGATGGGTTTGCCGCTGCGGTCGATGGCACCCTCGGCGATGATGATGATGTTGAGCCGTGACCCTCTGCTGCGCGTCTGGTGAGAGGGGAGGAAAAGAGCTGCCACGGCTTAGCCAAAACTCACCAG